TGAAATCTTAAATCAGTCCCAAGAATCTGAAAACCAAGATCCAAGTTAGTCATCTCAAGTTCACTAGAGACTGAAAATAATTTTTTCACAGCCATAAAATATAAGTCTTATCTACATTGTAAAACACAAGCATTACCTTATGGAGAGGTGCTTGCATAGGTTTTTATGGTGATGCTTTTATATTGAAGAAGAACTTGTCTTTCTGAATGTTTGAGACTAGTTTTTTAAAGTGTCCTGTTATGAAGAGTCGTGTCCAAACATACTGAGAAGCAATGGATTATTTATTGTGCCGTATGTTTATTCTTTTACGTGTAGATCAGACCTCTTCAGTGCTGTTGCAGAAATTTCATGCAGTATGTTCATCTGGTACTGAGGATTAAAATATCTCTTCATTGTCTTTTGCTTTTCTTCCTAATGTTACATTTCTATTACACACTTCAGTAAAGCAGTCTTGCAATTTTGACTTGCTTGTGTTAGTATCTGTTCTGAGAAGATCCTTTTTTGTGAAAGGTTCTCATTACAAATGATGTAGCAGATGTACACTGTATATAAGGTGACTTTGTGCTAATAAAGGTGAAAAAGGGGGAGAAAGAAACATGATTTTGTAATGACTCAGAATTCTGTTACACAAATGAAGTTCTCAGCTTACCTTGAAAAGTGTACTTACCAATGGGGGCACTGTAGTTGCAATACGTACCACGGAATATCAAAACTGAAGGCCTCTTAGATATGCCTTTCTTGAAATGTTTAAGTAATTTTTTGAGTGTCTTTTGTGTGTTAGTTCATTTCTGACATGGCTTTCACTACGACAGTTCATATATTTTCAGTGCAGCCACTGGAGAACAAATGTGAAGATGTATTACACTTTGTGCAAAGGCAGATCAGTTGTTTGGTTTTAGGAGTGGTATTGTTTTATTAGCCTATTAGGATCTAAAGGTTATTTTCCATAAAAAGTAATAATTTTTTTTTTTTAATCTCTGGATCTCCCGCTTGTTTTCCATTGTATTTTAAAAAATCCCCAACCAACCAAACAACCCCCAAATCAAAATCCCCAATACCCGTCTCCCTCCAAAAAACCCCCAACCAACCCAAACCGTGAACTGTAAAATTACGTTGGAATTTGAATCTGACAAATCTTCAGGATGTGAGTGTTTAATACTAATAAAGATTTCTTGCAATCAGAAATTCAGATTTTGTAGTAGCTGCAGAAATGCTCTTTGTGTACATAAGATTAGAACATTTTTCTTTTCTTTAAAATTGTTCTTCTCAAAATGCAAATAATTTGTATTTGACTGTAGAACTTGGCGATGGGTGAAGAGATGCAGCTTGTTCTCTTCTTAATGCACAGCGCTTTGAAAGTGCTTTTTGGTGGAGGGTGGTGGGTGATGTGTCTTGGAACAGTCACTCTTCTTGGTACTAGAGTTGATGTAAGTTTGCTAACAAATGTTTAACATGTGGTAGGCGTTTTAGCTTTGTTTTTCTAAGGCCTGTTACCATACACCTACATTTATGGTATAGTCTAAATTGATTTGCTTAGTTTATAGTATATTTGTCCAGTTTGACAAGGATTTGCTTCACCAAGACATAAATGAGCAATAATAAATAGTGCCAGGTAGCTAGATATTTGATTTGAGAATTTATTCTATGAAGTAAAATGTCTTACATTCCTTGATTATCCTAGAGATGTTGATTTTAATTCCAAGAGAGTTTACTTATTTTGCTCTGTTCACACAGTACAGAGCTGTGATTCTTATTCATGAATAGGTAGATTTTAAGTTTTAATTTGATAATACATACTAAATAGAATGGCTGATTTATAGGTTTCATTAATTTGATATAATTTGCTATTTTTTTTTTAATTTTTTTTGTGTTGACAGTAATTCTTTGTTGAGATATGACTCAGATCATATAAAATAGAAGATCTTGAATGTAAGCATTGGGGCAGTTTTCTTGTAATACAGCTACTACGAAAAAAATCTGCTTAGTGCAGGGAAGAATAATGTAATGTTGATGTCAGTTATGTCCATTTAGACATTGCCTGTGCTGCTATTCAAAATAGAGGGAAACATCTTTTACCTGTGGAGAATGTCCTGTTTTAGTACTTAACTTGATAATTAAAAATGCGCGGTGTTTATAGTAAGTTACCCTGATGCACATACTGTAGATAGGAACAAAATTAAGTCCTGTATTCCTTCCTGTAGTACTAGAATTTATTTAAACATTTCGTCCATATGAATGGGGGTTTGCCTACTTTGTATTCCATAAATTGGTGAGCATGTTTTGGAATTTGTGGAAAAGAACTGATCTGTTGTGATTTGTTTTGGATGGTTTCTTAGTATATAGCATTCAAACACTCAGGATATGGAGCAGGTAGATACATAGAAGGACCGTGATTTGATGGAGATTGAAGAGAAAGGTTTTGAGGGAAGGTGTAGGGAAAATGGATATGCAGGTCAGGAAGCACAGAGCTGAGTGGGAGGGGAAAAAAAAAAAGAGTTTGCCTTCTTGAACCAGTCATATGATTAGATTAGTATGATATTGATATAATCAGCTTACTTTTGAGGCTTTTCTTCCGTGGTTCTTTGCTCCACGATGACTACTGGTTAGAGTTTAGTTGGTCAAGTAAGGAACATGGTGACTTTTCTCAAGTGATACTCAGCTAGGGAAAAGTTAAAAGCTGCTGCTGTCTAAAATAGCTATCTATGTTAACAGCTCCATATGAACATTAACTATACTTAGCATGGTATGCTTAAGCAGTCTTGAGGAATTGATAATGCTCTCCTTGTGCTCAAATTGGAGGTACTTCTATAGTCCATTCATCTATCCTGTATTCAGGTCTGTTTTGAAAAATTGGTCAATGTTGTTTCACTGTGTTCCGACAGTTGATTGCAAAAATGGTTTTGTAGTGCAGGGAAACAACATTTTTCTTTCTGTTTCTTACTCTACACTCAAATAGCATATATAAAAAGGAAGGCTATGAATTATGTACCTTAGGTAGACATAAGTTCACAGTGTTACATGGATTTTTATAGGAGTTAAATGGAAATAAATGAATGTGTTATCATGGGTGCAGTGGTGTTTTCCCAGTTTCCACTATTCCCAGAATTGAGTTGAGCAAATATAACAAATCAGAAATGGAGGGGAGGAGTAGCACATGCTGGTACCGTAATTTAAACACATGGTCTGTGAAACATTACTGTGCACTGTTTTTACATCTGTATTATCTTTACCTGTTTTCATTGCTTTGCAAAATTGACCAGCAGAAAAGTGAGAAAGTGTTCTCCAGTATGAAGGTTTGTGTATAGTCCAGTATATATAGGACAGTCTTTACTATGCTGTTCCATGTTTTATAAATAAAGAGGCTAAAAAAAAGAAATAAAGAAATCATGCTGTATGTGGCATGTTTCTCAGTGGAGCTGAATATTTGAAAACATACGCAACCAGAGTTGCAGTGTGCTTACAGTACCTTGCTGAGGTTTAAACCCAGGCACCAAACAGTTTAAATCATTGGTGTGACAATCAGAGGGAAGTCAAGTCACATTCATCCAAAACATAGCCCAGTACTAGCCACTGTGAAGAAAATTAACTCTACCCCAGACAAAATCAGCACATACCTGTATTAAATGAGCTGTATTGTGACCCTACTACGGTGTGTCTGTAACTCTTTGACCTGGAATTGTTCATGTGCATGTTTAGAGAGGGTAAAATATATGTACCTTAAAACATTTTTAAAAACCAGTTTCAGATATGTTCTACCTTATAACAGAAAGTACCTTCAGTGATTAGAATGTGATAAGTAATTCTACATCAGTAATTGTTTTGGTGACTACTGTCCCATTTTATGTTCTTCTGAATTTAAATGTTGTGGTTTTGCTGAAGTAAATGAAAATGGGTGTTCTATGTAATCCAGAAAAACTTAATTTTAAGGGTAATTAATCTAAGAAAAGAATGGTACCAAGTTAATGATGCATTGGATTCTAATTGATAAAAAAAATCTGAATGAGTTTCAGTTGATACCAGTTCTAAATGAATGGATAACCAACTTTTTTGTCGATGTTCAGTGTGTATTGGAAGTTGTATTTTTGTCAACATGTACTTCTCGGTGTTGCTTAATTACATAAAGATAGCATTGATTCTTGTTGCGAATACGTACATTTGTTGTTCATTAGCAAAACATGCTAATCACATAGTCAAAAGGTGAATTAATCATTCATTACACATTTGTATTTTCATTGAATTGAATAAGTTTATGAATGACAGCGCTGAATGTACTTTCCATTTTTTTCAAAACAGAGAAGTTAGGCTTTGCAAAGGGCTGGGTGGATTACTTGACAGTCTCACTGTCCTCATCTTTTCACATTAAGTTGAAAGGCAGCTGCACATCACTTTTACATTACTGCTTTAGTGTGAATGGTTACTTAAATTACCACAGAGAGATTGTTCAGTTGTTAGTGGTGAGGGGAGTAGTCCATCAAATAATCTGAGGACATGGTCTATGCACAGCAAGTTTGGGAAGACTAGTGATTACTTCCTAGCCAGCTCATTACCACTCCCTAAGCACTGAATATGAACTCATCATGCCAAGGTACTGGACTGTGCTTGAGATTCCAGACATAACTGGCTTTGTTTGAAAGTCTGTGAAGTCACATTTAAAAATGGCAAATAACTAATCAGTGAGAAGAGGGAAGAGAATGTTTAATTCAAGGATACAACATCTAGTTATGGTACAACAGTCTAGATTACAATATTCATGATGAACCTTATCTTAGCATTGATCCCGCTCTGATTGCTACAGCTGTTGGTTGGGAAAGTGGTGGTGGCCAGGGTAAGGGTTTGAGAATCTGACGTACAGTGATGCTTGGAGAGAATCTAAACGTTCTGTTTGGTTTTGAATGTGGCTGTTGTTGGCAGGCTTAACTTTTTGTTGTTAAACTTTCTGTGGGAGCAGGTCATTGCTGTGAATGCATGACTGTCCTAACTCTCGCTTTGTTTTGTCTTAGTCATATTGATCAAACAACAACATGGCAAGATCCTAGGAAGGCCATGCTCTCCCAGATGAATGTTACAGCTCCCACTAGTCCTTCTGTGCAGCAGAACATCATGAACTCAGCATCGGGTAAGCAAAATCTGTATTTATGAAAAAATCATGCAAACAAACTACAAGCTGTTGTAATTGGGGAAGAACATTTAAGAAATGTTCTTCTAGTTATCCTGGTTTAAAACTTTAGATTTAATGTCTAATGCATCAAGCAAGAAGCTGATACTTGAAGTAAGAGATTTTTTATAATAGTTGTGTTTATAATATTCATGGTTTTATAATATTTATATTTATACTGTAGTTCTTTGATTTGTGATTGTTTTTCAAATGAATGGTTCAAATTTCTAAGGAAGCAGAATTTTTGTCTAGTTTCTTCTGACTAAAAATGCTGTTAAATTGATAAAGACCAGAATTTCCATTAAATTAATGTCAATTTACATTAAAACTTTTGTGCTTCTGCAGTGTTCTTCTGCCTCCCCTTACTCACTGACTAGATGTAGTATACTGCCATTTGTTTACATTTCCGACATTTATTATGAACATCTCATTTTTTCCTGTCTTCTCTAAATGCATCAAGCAAACACCTAGAAAATCCTGTTTAGAAGCAGAGATGTTTTGGTTTTCCTCTTGTTTTTCTATTATTTCCAAAATTCAGTATCATAATGATTATTCTTGTAGCTGAGGAAGTCTGATGTCTTTTCCTAGAATATAGAATTGTTTTTCAACTGGTCTGGGAGGGGCATCACTAGATAGCAGTAAAGTGTTCTTGTTCTTGCTGTAGAACCTGCTGTATGTTTTCAGAGCTCTCTTGTCCTTATTATGCAGAGAGCAAGCAGATAAATTTGGTGCCATGCTAGTTTGAATGCTATGGTCTTTCCCTTGCTTTGTCACCTTCTGTCTGTCACTGAGGTTCATGTTATATTTATTCTCTCACAGTCTGATTGTATTTTGTGTATGTCTGCTGTTCCTGTACTACGCAAAGGTTATTCTCTGGTGCTGCTCTTTGTGGTCCATTTAGACAGCTTTCTTTCATGCTGCAATTCATGTGCTGCAGACAACACTGAAAGATTAACAGGCGTGACCAAACTGTGCTGTTCATGACTGAGTAGTAGAGGGGAAGTTAATCAAACTTTTTGCTGGCTAGGCCAGGAGACTGGATTATCCTGAAACAAATGAGTCCTGTTCAAGTTCAGGAAGTTGTGATTCACAGCAATTAAGGTCTCTGGCTCTTATATGAAAATAAAATAGCTTGATTATTTTTTCTGTAAATTTATCTCAGGAAATCTGCAGCAGTAGAGATGACATGTTTTTGCAGGGACACTCCTGAAGAACAGAGAAGAGGAGAAAGGAAACAATTCCCTTGGTCTATCTTGCTTTTTGGCTTATCTTGTTTGTGCTAAAACAAGGTGCTTGCTATTTCAATATTGACATGAATTCTGTATTTTCAGTTAACTCCTCAAACCTTCAGTTGTACCAAGAATTAACAGGAAAAAATACTGATAGTAAAGTAGGATTCATTTTATGTACTTAGAAAGAAATGAAGAGTCCTTAGCAAAAAAATTACCTTTAATTGTAACAAGGTAACAAACTAGAAGAGAACCTAGCAATCAGCACACGAGGATTATATTTAAAAGAAAATAAAGAATTTACATGTAATTGCCTGATGTGTGTGAGTGAGTGGTGCCACATAGATATTATTGCTCATGCAATAAAAAGCAGTTCAGATGTTTAAGTGGGTTGTCTAGTGATTTGAGAAAGCACTTATTTAAATACAAGTTTATTGAACATTTATTTTTAATTTCACATATCATACTGTGTTGAATATCAACTGAAAATCATATAAAGTTTTTTTCCACCAGTGCTCTGAATTACATAAAGTACATGAAGAACTCAAAACTTCTCTGTACACTGAGTTACATGTTTACATGGTCTTAGGATTTTTTAAGCTTAAATCAGTTGAGGTAGTATGACTTGGAACTGGCTCTTTGGATGCATCTGCTTACCCTTATCTTATTTGCTATTAACAAAAGTCTGCTTGGAATTAAATAATGATGAACCTGCATTTATTGGGTACAGTTCTTTTTCTGATACCTGATTTGGCAAATGTTTAGTACTAACTTTAAATTATGCCTGTATATTTATTTTTCCTAAAGTCTCTTATATCTATTTTTGTTGTTTTTTACTACTGAGTTCACGGTAGCTTATGCTTCCATGGTGGCATAAAAAATCTTTAAGAGAAATGGAAAAATCAAGTAACTCTTGTACCACTTCAGCATAGTGGAACTTAAATCTTAGTGCCAATGTCATGGCTATATGACTACTTAATGTTCTAATTTGGATATTCATCCTCAAGAACTGGGAAATAAAGTTGAGACCTTTAAGACAGAAGTTTCCTGTTATGAAATATTGCTGGCAATGAAACATGCCCTAGTGCTATGAGAGTCTTTCATGAAAGATATTGGGAAAAACTGAGTGTAAGTATTGTGACAGCTGGAGGTCACTGGCTTGCAAAAATATGTCTGAAATTCCACAAGGGAGAATGTTTTGCTTTCTTTATAGACCTTGTATAATGCTCGTTAATTGTAACCCTTAATCAAAGTTACTGTCCGAGTTTTAGTGTACAACCATAGCAGCCTGTGAGTAAAGTTGCTGTGATAAAATGCAAGAGAGATTTTTGGGAGCTGTCTCGAAAGTCTTTAGGAGCTTTAACTGTTTAGCCAGCATTAGAATTCCCATCATTAGCTAGAATTAAGAACAGGAAAACAAACAGAAGAGGCAGAGAGAGGAGACCTCTGAAAGTTGCTGTGTGCATATTGGAGATAAATCTGTTGTCTTTTTGGATAAATAGGGAAAGTAGAACTCAGAGAAAATGGGAGGAAAGCATAACTAGAAGATGTGGTAAGGGTAAGGGCAAGTCGAAAGATTGTTTAAAATATAAAAATGGGAAAGATGTAGTTTAGCATGAGGTTGAAATTTTTAGGTTGTTTAAAGAAATTCCATCTCTTTACGCACCTAAGACTGAATGAGAACCCATGTATCTTTCTGCATGTAATGTTCCTTTGAGGAAGTTAATAGACATGTGATCCAGCTTTATCTGTTCCTGGCATGATTTTGTGAATGAATTATTTTTTGAGTGTTGGTTAGCATGCTACCTTTACGAGAAGGCATCAGAGTGAAAAGTGAGGGGGGTTTTTTTGTCTCAGTCCTACTGATCTTAGCTTGCTACACATAATCAACTAAAATAATTTGGCCCATATGTATGCAGAGAAAGCAGCCCAGCGCTCTTTTAGGTGGCATTTGTTGGTTAATCTTCTGTGAAATACAATTGCATCTTCACATCAATAGTGGGAAGGAAACAATCTTGTTACTTGTAAATATCCCACATGTATATAAAAATTATTTGTGACTGTTCTGATTTTTTGTGTTGTTTCTAACAATTTTTCCCTAAAGGTATTACAGAAGAAACTATGTTCTTCTGTCTTCATTTAAAACAAACAAACAAAAAAAAAATAATAATGGTACATTGTTCTTCTGAGGAACATCTCCTACACATCTCTTACTGAGGTAAAATTATACATTTAAAAATAAACAGTGGCTGTTTCTTACGCAATTGCAGTTGATATAGCAGAGGTGGGATAGTAATTGTAGTCATATACTTTGGTTCTTCGGATACTTTTACTTTCTGAATCATATTGGACAGCACTGCTTACTTTAGCCTCTTCCGCTTGCGCATAGACCTTAGATAATTAGCTTTGGAGCAGATTACTTGTCTTTGTCCTCTTTTGTCTTCACTCTTATGTGACAGTTTTGAATTGGGTTTCCCAATGAGAGTTTATAGACCTAGTGCAATTCCTTTGTCTCTTAAGGTAAGGCTGTAGTGCCATGTTAAAGGTTGGTAGGAAAATGAACACTCAAGTTCATAACTTATGGGTGACAGGAGGGTAGGAAGGAATGTGCCAGTAAATAAAAGAAGTTCTAGCTGTTCTCTTAGGTTCTTGCTCACTTCAATTAGATGTTTCTCCTCTACGTAGCCAGTCTTACTACAAATTCTGCTTTGTGTAAGGTCAACACTACATACGATCCGTTGTGAAAATCAAGTTTCTAAGTATTTACATGACAGTAATGTTCATTGCTTTCTTCATCTGCAAAAAACGCCGCTTTTTAAATAGTGTCCATTTGTAATTTTTACTAATTTGACAGGATAAAGATCTACTCTAGGTAAATTTTGTAGACTTTGCTATAATTTTAAAAAGTTTTGGAATCACAGTGTCAGTGCATGAAGGGAAAAATTTCAGCTGTCACAGAAGAAGATTAGGAAAGTTCTTGGAGATCAGTGTTTGTATTATGTGAGGTGATTCCTGTTGTTGAATATAAGTGTTCTAGTTCCTAGGTTGTCTATACATATTCTTTTAGTATATAGATACAGCTGCCCTCTAATATGCATTGACCTTTTGATAAAATATGGCTTTATTTACATTTATTTTACAATTAAATCTAAGAAACTGTAGGGACTTGCAAGACTCCCTGTGTATACCAGAATAGTTGGAATCTCTACTAAATTTTTTCTTTGTTACTCTTGCTGTTGTTCTCTGCCAGCAGCAAGCTCTGCTCTGGTTTCAGCCACCACAGCATTCCATGTTTCATGGCATATGAGAAGGTAAAAAAAAATCTCACAAAATGTGGAGACATGCACCAAAGAGACATGTACACAGGCTTTTAAAATTACATGTTATTTGTATTAAGTTACACCATTATATGAATATTTAGTTACAGAAGAATGCCTTATCAGTAGTTATGTATAGATGGCTTGCATTTGGAAATTGGAATTTAATTTTTTTATAACTTTGTCCTTAAAAGTACCACAGTGCAGGGTGAGTTGCCTAGAAGGGTTGTCTCTCCCTGTGCAAATAATCTCATAGAATTGTAAACTTATGATTGCGACAGTTTTCTATTGACCTAAGAAACCCGGACAGAACTGGTAGGAGCCCATGTCACAGGGATATTGTTGGTGGGCAGACTGGAAAAGTACTCAAAAGATATTTTGGTACCTAGTAAGCAGACAGAATCTGGTTCAAGGAATAACTTGAGATAGAATCATAGAATATCCTGAGTTTAGAAGGGACCCACAAGGATCATTGAAGTCCAACTCCTGGCCCTGCACATGAATGTCCCAAGAATCCCACCATATGCCCAAGAGCGTTGGGCAAATGCTTTTTGAACTCTGGCAGACTTGGTGCTTTGACCACTTCCCTGGAGAGCCTGTTCCAGTGCCGAAGATACTTGGAGGCCAAGGGACTATTCATAGCCTCTTTAGCTTTTAGGTCTATGTGTGTATTCAGTGCTTTATTTAAAGTTTGTAGAGTATGGCACTCACTAAATGGGTTGTTTTCAGTAACAAGATCTGTCCATCACACCAGGCTAGATGTCTGAACTAAATGGACCTTTGGTTAGACCCATCATTGCTGTTTCTGTACCACATGGGCTACAGTAATTGTGGAAATTTAGTGAGAAGGTCTGAAGAGCAGCAATATAGGGCTGAGATAACTAAAGTCACAAAAGCTAGTGCTGGAAATTCTGTTCCTATTGAGCCTTTTGGGTGAAAAGGGACATGTAATTGCAAAGGAATTTTCCTAGATGCTCTGGATGAATGTGCCTGCTATTCCTCAGCATAGTTTTCCGTCTTTCCTCTGGTACTTGCCTCTAATACAGAGTTTGTCAGACAACCAGTTAAAAAATCAGACTTGTCTTCTAGTTTCACAGTTACTCACAAAACCAAACAGGAATTACAGAAAGCAGTACTAATCAATTTTTGAACTACCATTTCAACACGTAAGGGTGACAGCAGAAATATGAGAGCAGTTTGTTGTCCAAGAAGAAAGCAACGCTGTTAATGCCAAAAGTTTGTATACAGAAAAGTTCTGTTTCTGCAGTCATTGATGGCACTTAGCAAGGAAGGTTTGCTGCTCTGACAACCAGGTGAGCAGATGGACCTTTCCTGTCCTGTTCCACAGCTGTGCATTTTATTTGGAAGAAGAACCTTACCCAGGTTTGTCTCCAGTAAGCTAGTACTCATCAGATCACTGAATCTCATAAGTAGTATTGTTCCCAGGTAGGTGGACTGATCAGCTCCTGGCAACCTGCTTCAAAGGCATTTTGTTCTTATTTGTCATGAAGGAACATGCTGGACCAGTATTGACTTCAGTGTTCAGCAGGACTGACACCCCAAGGCTGGTTTTGTTTTTCCTAGAGCCAGATGGGGTTTTTTTGGCTTTGCTGTTCAAAAGAGAATTTCTTGCTGAATTTCTCCAAGGGATGCGTGACTTAGATGGACTCTGAGGAGAATGGTAGTGAGAAGGTCTGCCACATGGCTAGTGTGTTGGCTTAGCAGTCAAGGAGTGTTTTCGGTTCTTCATTGGCTTCTGCACTTAGATGATGGGGGCCATGTCACTGTGCTCCTGTGCCCCAGTTTTATAAAATAGCATCTCACTGATTATCTGGCTGGTCTTTGGGTATAACAAAATACAGAATTCTTTGCACTGGAGCCTTCAATTCTGCATCAAAGTCCTTTTGTACAGTGAATATGTTAGGATTTAAGAATGATTTGCAGTATCGTCATTCTTTCTTGCCTGTTCTGTTCACTAGCTTCTGATAAAAGCTGAGGTTCTTGTTACTTGTATGTAACATTTAAAGTTTATGAGCATTAGGAATAGGAAGGAAATGTCCAGTTTTCACTGGTTTTCCTCACTTGAAAACCTGTAGCTCTAATGGTGGACTAGTGAATTTGCTAGAGAAGGGCATTGTTTTCTGAGCCAAAATGAAAGTTTAAATTAGAAATGTAGTTTGCAAGGCATCTTCAAAGACCACAAGAAATTCTTGTCCTGGTTATGCCTTGAGATATTACTGGAATGCAATCAAATTATTGTTTTACTCTTTTTGATGTTTCTCCAAGAACATCTTTTGAGATTAAGCAAACAAATCTATCCTGCTCCCCAACTCCCTCCCAGCTTTAGACTGAATTTTTCAGCGGGAGCACAACTTCACGACAAAATGACAGTCAAGAGCTAATATGGTTTGAGGATGCATATAGGAGGTATTTATCAGATACATATATTTTTGTGTGTATATCTGAATCTCATGTGTGAAATGATGATGTTTGTGCATACTTAGTGTATCTTATATTATACAGAATAGTCTGTTAGTCCAAGTCTAACAGCTAGATGGCTTTTGGTAGTGTATTACTGTATTATACTGAGGAAGAATGGAAGGAGAGTTTGTAATAGGACAGCTTGCTGCTGCAGCAGGTTTTGTTCTAAATTCTTTTCTATTCTTAACATTGTAGTGGATCTTTTGTTATATAATTTTAGGATTGTACTTAAATCTAAAATACAGGGAAAATATTCCTGTATCTAATCTAGCTATTTTAAAAAATAGTGTCTGTGTGAGGATAAGAATTCAAAACTGTATGTTTTTTAAGCACCTGCCAGATGAGATGAATGTAGCTTTAAGAATACAGATGAATGTACATATAGAGATGGGAATGAGTGGTTTAAGAACTGTGTAGGAATGAAAGGTGGTTTCTTGAAAGCTGCTGATTGGAACATAAGGGGAGCCCTCCTAAGGCTCTGTGTTCAGACATTAGCTGTGAGCTCCACAAAACCATCACCTACCTCCCTTTTAGCATTTTCTAAAAGCAGTTTTCCCTGTGTGTGCCTTTCTGCTTGTAGTGGTGTGTAGCACTGCTGTTCATAGCACTGTGTCTCTGGCTGCTCGTGGTGTTTTCTTACCTTTGCTTTGTCATTGCTTGTTTGCCTGCCTTGTTCTTCAGGTTTGCATTTTTGCCTGCTTAAGCCTTTCATGTTTTCACAGAAAGTTATGAGGTAAAGGGGAAATGAGTTTTGTCACTTTTTAAAATTGTTTTTGAAAGAGGAATATTTCAGAATCTCCTCAGTGTTATCTTGTTGCTGCTGTTGTGCTTTAATCACTAGATGAACTTTCCTATGAGAAGTAAAATATGTTTATGCTTCTTTCTCCTCATGCTCATGCTGGTTTCATTCTGGCAGGCTTGACTTATTGCTGGTTTTATACTATAGTGCTATATCAGAAGGAAGTGTCAAAAGCATATGAAAGGATGCAAACAAGTTTTAAAATTAAACTCCAAATCCTAAATCAAAATGATAGAAGTGTTTTCTGTTCCTTGATTTCCCACCCAGCACTTCCTTGCCCTTATCCCAGAAACATTAGACATGAGCTTGAAACTCTTCTGTTTCATGTACTGTTATATATGTGAAATGTTGAAATTTTTTTTAGATCAATTTCAGCTGGAGCAAACAAGAGCCCGCCATCAACTCCTTCCTTCTATATTGCAGGCCCACTCCCCGATGGATGGGAACAAGCTATGACCCAGGATGGAGAAATTTACTACATAAACCATAAGAACAAGACTACATCTTGGCTAGACCCAAGGCTTGACCCACGCTTTGGTAAAAGTTCATCTCAATTCAGAATTATTGATTTGCTTCAGTTCACTCAGCTTTAATTTTGCAGGCATATTTTCAAAACTTCACAGTACAATTAAAATATATTTTAATTTGAGTTATAGAGACCTTATTTAAATAATAATTCTTTTTAAGATAAAAACTATAAGTATATATCCTTCAGGACTGTATGTTACCCAAGTTTCTAGTGCGGGTTGGTATTTTGCCATATGATCCATACAGTTCCCAAAAGTGGTGACATTCAGAAATTGCTTTATTTAGAGACAGTTTCAGCCAAGCTCACTCTTCCCTTTAAAATTGCAAAACTTTACCACAGAAGAACCTTTTAATTCCCAAACAAATATTTGCTTTCCTTTGTGCTGTCTTAAGAGGGCATTGTCAAATAATAATTTATGCTGTTTAAATTCACTTGAAATATATACCAGCTTATAATTCCAGCTTGTCACAGTGATGATCATAACAAAACCTTCTGTTTTAAACACTACAGTGAGAAATTAAATTAGTTTTGTTGTTTCTACTTTAGTAATCTTTTTGTGGGGTAAAGACTATGTAATATTGGAAATAGCAGTAGTAAGTTAAGTGAAGGATCACAAAGTCTAGATGTAGAAATTCAAAGAAACAGAACTAATATGTAATTTTTTCAGTAATGTTTTTGATCTATATGAAGAGCAGAACTGCAAACTTTTCAGTAAAATATTGGCACTGATGACTATGAAAAGCAATCCTATATAATATGAAGACTCTAAACTAGTTTCTTAGATTGTCCAAGTGATGTATTTAAAGTAGCATTACAATTTCTGGTTTTGTATGAAACCACGACCTGTATGTGTAAGCCTTATTAGCTGTATTAATTTGCCCTTGATTTGTTTTCCCAATAACTTACTATTTTCAACTCCTTTGGATTTTAGTTATTTTTCCAGAGCCATGGAGAAACAGTAGGGTAAAAAAAAAAAGAAGATATCATTGTGGTTTTCAGGCTTTACTTTTGGACTCAGTGCAGCCAAATGAAAACAGTGTGCAGATCACTGAGTAGGTCAGGCTGAGGGGATACAAAACCTTTGAAGCTTTACAGGGGTTGACCTAACAACAACTGTGGGCCCCTTTTGGGAGAGGCATTAACTCCATGAATGCCATATAAATACAGAGCTACAAAACTCAACAGTCACTGTTCTGTTTTGTTTTCTGACTTGGCTGTTAGAAATTCCTGCATTTTTTTGTTTTTAGGCTTAAGTGTGTACTTAAAACATCCATTTGCTCTTATGGAGAACACCGGATTGTCACAGTTTGTTTATAAACTGCTCACCAGTTTGTAGACAGGTTGAACCACTGTGCAACTTGAGTCCAAAGGTGGGGCGTCAGCTTTGGCAACTGTCCATACTGGCTTTGACACCAGCCAGAGCTACAGACCTGTTTGCGTGTTGCAAGAGGAGTGTGTGGGTAATTTGCAACTTCTCAATTACTTAATATGTGAATAAGATTGGAAAGGAAGCAGTCATTTTGAAAATCAGTGTTGCCTTTTGCAGTCAATTATATTTACTCAGGTAATCTTGCAGGGTATCTATTTTTCTTTACATGTATTACTTTATAGTTTCCAATGATGAGCTGGAATTAAAAAGGAGTGTGAAAAAGGCTTTAATTGACAGAAGTCATGAGTGAGATGAATCTTGCTTTTCAGAACTGTTTTGTACTCCTGTAAATAGAGTAGTCTAACTGTAAGGGCAAAAGCTACTTATCTTGTGCATACTGAAACTCCATCAAATGTTAAGGCTGTGCAGTTAAACCGAAAGAAGTTAGAAATGTCCAAAAGACTGATTAAGGGTTTCTTGCTGCATAGCTTCCCTTTTTGGGCCCACTGCGTATGTGTATCCCAGACAGACTTGAGTACATGCCAAGGCTCTTTATTTTGTGGTCGGACTTTTAATCTGTTCCAGACCTTTTCAGTCAAAGAGCTCAAGTGTAACTGAAAGGGGCAGGAAAGGAGAAAAAAAAAGCATGTGGGCTCTTCTGATCTAGAGTGACGGCAAATAGAGACAAGCTGCTAGCTGCTGTTGAGCTTGAAGAAGTTTTCCTTGAAAACTTAAGTTGTACACATTTTATTGTGGTTTATGTTTTTATTGTTTGAGCCAAGAAAATACAAAATCTTATGCCTGTTGCTTTCTCACTTGTGACCTCCTTAAGTCACTCCAGTCATGAAGAAAAAAAATCTCTTTGACAGAGTTAACTTACTGGGCTTTGTATTTATTTATCATGTGGAGATCCTCGACAAATATGTGCTGTGACGCTAAATAGCATGCGAATGACTCAGAAGTTTACCTTTCTATGCTTAATATAGATTGAAACTCCTATTGGGTTTTCCCCCCCTTTTCTATCACTGTGTTGTAATGTAAGGGCTTGGTTTTCGCTATTTTTTGACTAATAACACTTTCAGAAGCAGAGTGAATTCATCTTTGTCATGTCAAAGCTTTTGGTTATTACAATGATACTAATGTTGATTGAAAATGAAGGAGAAATTAATTTCTTTCTTGATACTGCCACTTTCACCAATCTTAAGAACCATTGAAGAAAACAAAGCTGTTGAATGGCATGTGCAAACATACTCTTCTGTTCCCGTATTCAAAACCAGAAGAGTCTTTGCTCTTATTGCTTCTGAATTGCCAGCTTCCAGGGAGACAGCCTTTAGATCTATGTTCCTCATTAGATGGAAACTTTGCATTCATCTTTATTTTCTCTAGTAAGTGTGCATATACCTCTTTTTCAAATAGTGCTCTGAATTTTCCATTATTGTGGCTGGAAAAGAGAGAGGAAGGAGGATCAGTTTGAAAAAATTATTTTAGATGGACTGACTGACTTGGTAAGGTAAATTTTGTTTTTGCATTCATGCTTTCAAGCAGAAAATAAAAGAATTTAGTTAATATGGATACTTTCTTGGAGCAGACTTTTAGAAATAATGTTATCAGATAAGAGTCCCTGTCAGAATACCCAGCTGTGGAGTAGGCTAGGTCTAAAACCTAAGTTGAAGATAAAAACTTTGTTCCAAGACTCAGGCCTAACATCTTTGAAATGAGATTGAGGTCTTTAGCTACACCACTTAAAAGGCAGTGAAGTCTTGTGGCTCAGACGTTTGTCCTCCAAGTGTATGAATATGACTTAAAAGCAGTTTTGCATTAGGAGAATTCACAAACTTTAAAATCTAGGAGAGAACTGAGTATGAAAGGAGGGTCTTCTTAGCCAAGCACAGGCAGTCATAAAAGGTGACATTGGATCGAACGAATGGGAATGGGGGTGGGGGGTGGTCCTTAGGCCTGTGTCAGCAGGATTCTTATCTAGTGGAGCATCTGGTACAAACATGCTGTCCTACCTTCTCAGTGCCTTTAGAGGCCTCAGAGTAAGGGGCTTCAAGTTGCCTTTTTTTTGAATGTGGAAGGTGGTTTTTTTTCCTTTAAGGTAATTGAACTGTCAGGTTGAGCTCGTGTTTTGGACTGTTTTGTCATTTCTGCTGTTGTTCATTGATCATTCTTCACAAATTCTGCTGGATTTTTAAGCCTTCCAGATAACTTAATGCATTTTCTTGATAGTTGAAGAACATCTGGATAGGAAGCAGGTCAGCTATGCATTCTGAGGGGCTGGAGTTGGTGAAGTAGAACATCTGCTTTTTCTATAAAATTAAATTTCCTAGTACCAATTGAAGTTTGGAATCGTTCAACTTTATTGCTACAAGTTTCCAAGAATTGACTTTTGTATCAAATGCCGGTGAAGGGATTTTAACTGTTACTTAAGTTAGCAGATGATAGGACTTGGCTTTAAAATGCAACTTAAAATAATTTGCCTTTTGTGGATACTTAATTTGTTAAATTCAAAGATGGAACAGCAAACTTGAAGTAGGAAAATTCTGGAAACTGGCAGTTCATTTCTGTGTATGTTGGGTTAAGTCTGGTTTAGAAGCAGTAAGTACTCCACTGGAGTAGTCAGACAAGTGTCTGCAAGGGTTGGAGTAAAGCAAGATACTGTTTCAGCTTCCTTGTTATTTTATTCCAGACTTCGGTTTTAAAGGTTTGTAAGTAGTGATCATACCAGTGTTACACAAGCCCAGTCTTCTTCCTTCTGTTCTTTCAATTGTTGAAGGTGCAATAATGGGGTATGAGGCAAAAGATGTGACCTCAGGTTGAAATCATTGCCCCGACTCACTCTCTCACTCCCACTTAGAGATTATGGTAATGTTCTTTGAAGTTCTGCATGAATTTTGGATGAGGGGGAAGGTATGGCAAGTCAGTGTTTAATATTATTATGGAAAGTGCCATAGGGGCTCTCAGTACAGTAGGTGCTTGAACTGCACAAGCAGGAAATGGAATAAAACTGATGATGACAGTAGGACTATAGAGAATGCACATCAGGATTTTCTGCTTCCTTTTTTGTGTAGCGTAAAAACATTACACCTTTGAAACAATGAAAAGGGCTTTGTTTCAATTAAACGTACATGTAATTGAAATGTATTTATCATTTCTATTTTAAAAAAAGGCAAGCAAACACACAACAAGCTTGTAATTCACTTAAAAGCTTAAGCTTCAGAGCATCTGCTGTTTTTTAAGTATCAAAATTAGAAGGAAGTATTCCATAGTGTTGCTTTCTTATCCCTTTCCTGTCTAGCTCTTTTTTTAATATATGTGTCTTCAAATTGGTTTGCAGGAGCCTTTCCAGATGGAGATTTGTGGACAAGATAGAACGGGAACCCTAGACTGAAAAACTGGTTTTTGGCATTTGTCTAGTCAAAAAAAAAACAAAAAACAGCCAGACCTTGCGTCTGGTCATAGTAGCATTTCAGACTTTTTAAGTTCCAGATCTGCCTTTCATTTTTGCATAAAAAGCAGAGTATGAGCCACAAGTGGTTTTGATCTGAAAATGCAATGACATATCCTCTTTACATACTCCTTAAAACAAAGAGGATTTGACTTATCTAAAAGGTCTAGTGGTATAAGATTTTTCGTTTC